TCAAAACTCCCAATTCAATGTATAACATTTTGATACCAAGCTGTTCGCTGGACATATTTTAGTTGTGTAAAGAACAAGAGTGAAATATATTCAATCTTGCTGGCAACCGTAGTGTAAGGGTTCGATTCTTGAAACATGGATTGAGACTCTTTGTGGGCACCAGTGTACAAACAATTTTTGTTTCCTGGCCTGTTGGGGCACATCCTGCGATTAACCTCTCTCACGATACTCCGGGGGGCGGGGCGGTGGAAGACCCTTAAGGTTGTAGTTTAACCTTTTTATTTTTATTTTTTATTTTGATACCAAGCTGATTTTTATCAGAACCAAGTAGGAGTTTAAACAAGTATTGATTTCGTCCCATAAAAGTAGTTTCCTTATTCTTTTTGGTTCGACGTTTGTCATAAATTATAATCAGGTTTTATTTGAGAGTATAGTTAATATATTAATTTTTGGGAAATAATATATGTATAGCACACTCACAAGACGTAAGGCTGCGATTATTTCACATATAAAATATTTCATTAAAATAATATGTGATTGAAAATGAATTTTTAGATAGTGCTCAAGCGTGACCTATTTCTCTATGTACAATTTTTTAAAAAGTAAAATGGCATAGATAGTTGTTGTCTCTTGAAGGTAATTATTAAGCCTCTGTTTACTCGTCATTCGTTTTTCGTAAATAACGAGTCTTTGAATAATAATTTTTTGAAAAATATGTGATTATAAAGTAGAATTTTTTTAAAAAAAAATTTGTGTGAAAAATATTTTCATGTGGGAATGTATTATTAAAAATGAGTATGAAATATTTTAAAAAAAAATAAATAGTCATCAATATGGGGTATTAAAATTATTGAAAAAGCTGGATTTTTAATTATTAGGTGCGTGAGTGTGGAGTCAATCAGCCCCGGATCCAAGATCCAAGTGGGGCCAGCAAAAGGGGAGTAGTCAAAGCAATTGAGTGACCATACATACACACGGATCACTCTTACTGGACAGAGAGAATCTGAATGGCGCATTTTACACTGCACCGTCTCACAGAACAAGCAAACGGAAAATGTCATTCATGTCCTTTTAACATTAATGTCTGCCATCATAATCAAAATTTCTTGTGGGGACGAATTAGTGAGAGAAAATGAACGTTGAAGTTTGAACGTCCAAAAATACTGTAAATTTTTTTTTTTAAATATACGTAAATTTTGATTTATTTAGAATTAATAACAGAAAATATACACTGTGATAATGAATGTTAAATTTTTAATTAAGTAAAATCGGATGTTAATTAGTATATATAAATGTGAATAATGAAATGCATGAATGTAAAATTCTAGTTAACTTATAATTAGAATTAATAACATCGAAATGCATAAATGAAGATGAATATTAATTAAATGAATGTGAACGTTAATTAATTGAGAATTAATAATATGAAATTCATATATTAACAAAAGCACGTGGTGAAATGAATCTGTCTAATATATGTACAATGATGGTCTAAATGGTTAAATAAACTAAGCCATTGTTTGTCGTCCATTATTTTACATTATAGCATATTATTTTTTCTACAGTACTCATTTTCAATCACACATTTTTCATTAAAATAATACAAAAGTCAAAAACTTTTTCTTCTTTTTTAACTACACATTCTTCATCAATCTACTATTCTGTAATACATTTTTCAAAATTAAAGGACACGACACACCATAAATGCATACTGAAAAATAAAAAGTAAGGTATTATTGAAACAATTGAATTATAGTAGGGCTTAAATTGTTCAAAAAATAATTCTCATTTGATGTGATATTTAATAAATATATTATAGATTTTAATTTTAATTAAAATTAATACAAATTATTTTTAACCACACAGTCTATGGGATTTACAAATTTTCATTATATATTCATCAACTTTTATAAAAATTTACTAAAAAATTAATTTGAATATTTCATTTTAGCTTTTGTCTCGCTCAATTTTCCAAAATGTATTTTTCTATTGAATTTTTCTATTTGTACATTATTTTCTACCACCTTGTGTTTACAGAAAAGTGTGCTGCCAAAAATTTTTTAGATAAAAAGAAGTTTTTTATTTTTTTTTTAACAAAATGTAAACAAGCATGATTGTTTTTGCTATAATCTCTTTAACCACACATTCCCCAATAAAATAATATCACACGTTTATTCAAAAACAAATATTAATTTTTAGTCACACATTTTTCAAAAAATAATTTAAAGTTATACATTTTTTCAATAAAATTGTCAATTTTGAAAGTCTTAAAGGTGGCAAAATGGCCAAATAGCTCATCGACTCGTCAAAACTTGATCTATGGACGACTCGAGCTTGTTTCGGAACAAGTTCGAGCACGAGCTGAGCGGGGACGAACGAGGCAAGGCTCTTCTTATCGAGTTCACAATGGACTCGTTAAAAAAGTGAGCAAGCATCATTCGGTAGCTTAAAAAAAATTTTAAAATTTTTATAAAAAAAAACTTGAGCTTGTGGGCCGAACTCTTGGCCCTTGACTCCTTGAGTACGAGCCAAGCACGAACTTGGCTCGTGTCTCGTGCTTGGACGGGCTTGAGAAGAGCTGACTCGATCTGGCCCATTGCGATCACTAGACCCCACTAGCAAAACAAACATTCCAAAATAGAAAAAAGAAAATAAAAATAATAACATTGTCAGAAAAAGCGACAAGTTGAATATAATGCTCGTAGATTTGCAAAGATCTCTCTGTAGCCTTTTAGCTTCCTTAAAGTAGATTTTCTCTCTCTATAATCTTTCACAGAACCCACTATCCCACACTCTATGTATGTGTGGATGCATACAAAAGCGGATTGTATCACGCATACTACTTTCGTGGCTCTCAGGAGTATCGTACAACACAATACACATACCCATTTGAGTAAAAAGGAAGTTGGACGAAATGGGTAGTGATTGTTCTTCGATTGTTGCAGAGGAATTGCATGTTCTTGCTGTGGATGATAGCCTTGTGGATCGGAAGGTCATCGAGCGATTATTGAAGATTTCTAGCTGCAAAGGTTTGGTGTTTTTGTTAATAATTCATTGCTTTGAACTGGATTTTTTTTTTATTTTTTATTTTTAAATTTATGGTTTTGAATTTTTGAAATTGATTGCAATTGTGGTTTTGCAGTTACTGCTGTAGAAAGTGGGAGGAGGGCTCTGCAGTATTTGGGATTGGATGGAGAGAAAAGCTCTGTTGGATTTGATGTAAGCAAAAACTGGATTTTCCTACAATAATTTTTGAGAAGATGAAGTTTTGGCTCCATGATTTCATTTAATTTTAAAAGATTCAGAAGAGTTTTTTTAAGTAATGGTAAAAAATTAATGGGATTTTGATTTATAGTTACAAGGTTCATCCACGGGTCAGTATTTTTGGTATATATTGACAATCTTTAACTTTTGAATTTAGGAATTGAAGGTGAATCTGATTATGACAGACTATTCAATGCCAGGGATGACAGGATATGAACTTCTCAAAAAGATAAAGGTCTGTGATTTTGGGAATTTAATTTCAAAAAGGAAGATTTTAGATTCTTCCCTAATATACATGACGATTTTCAGCTATTCTTGATTTATGTTGTTGAAAAATGTTTTCCTTTTTCAACCAGAGCTCATCGAAGTTGAGGGAAGTACCAGTGGTGGTTATGTCGTCCGAGAATGTTTTGGCTCGTATCAATAGGTATATTCTAAATCTGATGTCTATGTTTGATTATTTTGTTACCCATATACAGGAAGTATTTCATCCGTTAGATCAGCATATCAGATCTCACCTTTAAGCTTAGTTTCGTAAGTTTTTCGTTCTGGATAACAGAATTGATTCTTAAACTTGTATGTTATCCTTTCTTGGGTGAATTGAGAAAGAAATGAAGTAATCAAATGTGAGTAGAAGCTGTTCTGATACCATAGCCAGTATAGAATTTATAGATCATGTGAATCACACGTAACATCACACAAGAAAACTAGGCCTTGTTCTATTAAATTTTGGTGGGAATATATTCTTTCCACTCTGTTCGGTTCATTGTTACATGAAAATGCTCAAGTTTTACCTCCGAAATTTATGGGAAAAAAAAAAGATGCAGTGTTAGTCTCTGATTATATTTCTCCTTTCTGGCCAATTCTTAGGTGTTTGGAGGAAGGGGCTGAAGAGTTCCTGGTAAAGCCTGTAAAGCTCTCAGATGTGATGCGTTTGAGAGATATCATATTACAAGGGGACGAGAACGATGAAAAGAAAGGATCCGGGACCGGGAAGAGAAAACTGCAAGATTTATCGCCAACATCCTCTCTTGTTCGCGATCTCACTCCATTAAAATCTGCATCAGCAGCAGCACAACAGTCTTGTCTGAAGCGTCCAAGATTGTAGTATATGGTCTAACTTGCCGTAGTTTTAACCACGACTTGCGTTTTCTGTTTCCTAAGCCATCCCTGATGAATTTTAGTGGTGATGACTCCTGCTATTTCTAGGCTTATAGCTTAAGTCGCGTATATGCTTACTTGAGGACACTCAGGGTGAAAAATTGTTGATGGGAAATGGTGTTCATAGTTATATTTTTGGCATATACAATGATTCATCGAGTTGAATCTTGAGTTCTTTTGTTTGTGTTTCATCTGAGTAAATCTCCTAAATTTCTGTGGAGTTCGAGAAAAGAAACGAGTTGATTGGTAGCGTAAAATTATATTCTTTCTAGGAAAAACCCTGATTGGCCACTGGCCAGGGTTAAACCTGGCCAAAAATAGGGGCCTATGTGGCGTCCTATTGAAGGGGCGGCTGTTGGATTTGACCCTGGCCTAACAGCACGGCTCTTTCTCTCTGTGTACATCGTTCGTAATTGGACTCAGTCGAAAATGGAAGAAAAATCTATCAAGCTCGTTTCTCGATTATAGTTGATAAACAAGTTTGTTTGGAGAACTTGTTTCTCACAATTGTGTAATTTTATTAAGAACAATCCCTGTTTTTCCCCTATTGGCAGGTTGCTTGTGGAGCCCTGGAAAAATAGGGCCATGTGGCCCTTTTTATGTAGCACGGCTGATTTTAGTGGAAATTACACAAAACCATAGAGTTAAAATCTAGGGTTCAAAAATCAGGGAGAAGTTTAAGATTTCAATAATCAAAATTTTTATTTTAATTAATACTTTTATAAATGAAATATTTTTACTAATTAACCCACCCAACCGATTTTCACACTAACCCTCATCCCTTTCCTCTTCACTCTCTCTTTGTACATCTTCCTTATTGTCGGATGAGAGGAGGCAATTTGGTAAGGTTTTTCATGCCGAACGTTGGCTCCATTGAGGATGTCATCGTCAAATCTGCACGAGGTGGCGTTGACGTAGGCACGGGAGCTGTTGAAGACGAAGGCTATCCATATTACCCGTTTGCCTCGTCTATTCTCTCCCTTTGTCGGCCGTCTATCCATTTCAGGAGCAATCGTCGACGACTAGAAGCACAAAAGCAATATCTCGAAACAGATCTAAGATGGGCACGAAGTGGTATTTCGTCACCGCCCGCCCGCTGTCCATTTCAAGAGCTAATCGCAGAAGCAGTAGTTGCAATGCAAATCTACGATCGATGCTTGAAGTAGTGTTTTGTGTGGTGGTCGCGGTGAAGAAGAAACAGAGGTGTGTTGCAGCGGTGGGTATCGTGGCCTTCGACTGATGATATTGGATCTGTAATTTTGGTTGTGTGTGGTGGTGGTGTGGTTGAGCAGAGGCGGTGTTGGTGGTTGATACGGGCGGTGATGGTAGAGTCCGTTGTCTGATTTGGG